GTCACCACGACGGGCACCACTCGAGTGGCCGCTAACGAGATTCCGATCGAAAAGGAGGAACCTGTCGCCACCGAGGTCCCTGAGAGGAATGTGAACGAAAGTGAAACCCGGACCAGTTTGCACGAGGAAAATGAGCATCCGGAACCGGTTATAAGCACGACCAAAAGCGGGGACGAGAAAGAGGTCGTCACCGAGCAATATTCGTCGACCGAACAGACCACCCTGCCGAGCGAGAATAAAGAGACAAGCACGTTCGAGATCCCGTCCGACGAGGAGGAGCTGTTCGCCAAAGCGTCCCAGAGCGTGGCGGATCTAACCAGCTCCGCGTCGGCTTTGTACGACAAGCCGGGAATGTTCAAAGCTGTCTCCCCGGAGAGTAGAGTGGCAGTCAACCACTTCAAGATACCCACCGACGAACCCACTCTGCCGATCGAAGCCTTCTTCCAGGAATTGTCGAAGAAAAGCTAAGAACCGGCTGATGAAGCTAATTTGATTTCCTTACCTGTGGAACTGCCTCTTCGGGAAATAGATGGAAATATGCCTGCGGAGCAGTCCGGTTTTTGTATCTTCTTTTTGTTCTTTCGATTTATGGATTTTATGGTGTATATAGTGATCGGGTCATTTCTTGAGTCTTGCTTCTACTTATTTTTTATTTAGGCGGGAAACTTGGTTTTTGAGTTGATGTGGAATTTTGGGGATCTGATTTTTTGGAGCTGAGTGATTTTGGGGACATTTTTAATTTCTTTTTTTTTGGAAGAGTAGCGGATTTTGGTGATGTGATTGAGCTTTGTACATCTTAAAAATTTAATAACAATTTTTTTATTTTTGATATTTGATCATTTTTTGCTAGTTTCAGTTCCTTGAACAATTTTTATTATCTTAGCAATCAGACATGTTCGTCATCTAAATATTAAACAAATTTTTAAAATGGTTTAATATTTTAAACAATATTAATATATTAAACAAATTTTTGAAATTGTTTAATATTTTCTAAATTTTTAAAAATTCAAGACTCTCGAAATGACCTGACAGTTAAAAGGATGAGAAGAACGTACCAAAAAATCTAAAAAATCGTTGTAAAACAACAATGATAAAAAAAATGATACGTGCAATAATTATGAAAATATTGATATTTTCCTGCGATGTTCGTTTTACCATTTTGAACAGCTTGACAGGGAATTAAGATACCAAATGCATGCAATTAAAATTATCTTCATGCTATCTTAGATGTATCTAACGAATTTAATTTATTTGAAACGCGCGTACACTGAATCGTTCGATCGAAAAGCATCTATTATTTTCAGATCGATTGGTGCTAGAAGAAAAAAAAATAATGGATGTCTTTTTTGTAAATATAAGTATTCCAGAGTATTTATCTTGATCGAGTAGATAAATTCTCTCGATTTAAAGCGTTATTTAATGATCGTAATGGATACACCTTGAAAAATATTAAAAATTTGAGACATCTTTTTGATACGAACTTCGTTAATTCTTATAAAATTTGTATAAATTTGTATTCAAAATTTTAAGAAGTTATTCCTATAACATAGTGTATAGTCTTATAATAATCTTTTTTCAAAGTAAAAATTGTGAACGGAAAAAAAAATTTTATATTTTTATAAAAAAATTCATAAATACTAACGTATTTAAAAAATCTATTTAATGGTTGAATTATGTCGTTTGACTAAAATGCAATAATCTACGAGGGCCATTAAATCTTTGCTGTCGATATCAGGCATCGTCGACGATTTTCAGCGCCATTTTCCTCGAAAACGATATCAAAAATTCATTTCAATGAATGAAGGATTATGGAGAGTATATTTATGTTCGTGTATCCGTACGTGTAAGTAGTAAATATCGATTATGCTCGGTGCATCGTGTTATTTATATTGATTAAGCAAAACCATGTACACTGTAAATATATATACATAATATATATATACAATGAATAAAAACAAAGCTTGTTATTTACCTCTCCAAATCAGGTAGGTTGTAGGTTAAGTATAAAAACACGGTGTCAATCGGTTCAATTTAATTCACAATCCATTTAATTACGTCACGATGAATGGTTACATGTGTAGTAGGCGGTGTACGAGTAAAATACTATTTTGAAAAGTACTTGCTTTTAGTAATTTCGTTAACTCTTCTGCTATTTTAGTATGTTTAATAATATTAGTATTTTTAGATTTGATAAAATTAGGCTGGGTCATTTAAGACCCACAATTTAGGGTCCCAAATGAGAACCACTGATAGTTAAATGATATGTAATAATTTAAAATTATTAAAATTAAAAAGTTTGTGTATAGTCGAGGTGCAAAATTTACGACCACGCTATATCTCTGTGATGACTGTATTTACCATTCATTGCATTCTATTTTTTCTCATACAGACGTTCCAAATATTTCCTTCAACTTCAGAATACTGAATTTCTACGGTGTTTGAATTTTTCACTATAGAAACTTGATATCTCCATGTTAGATAAATTCCCTCAGAAATTCTGAGTTAAAATTTTAAATTAGAATTTATTTCTTGAGAACCTACAAGTTTCTAAAACCTCCAGAATTTCTGGAATTTCTAGAAAGTCCAGAATTTTTGTATTTAGAGCTTCTAGTACCGATAAAGTCCTGACAGCCCCCAACGCAGGGAATTATCAAGACTTCCCAGTACTTCAACGTGAAATAATTTTACGAACATGCTATATCTTTCTGTAAGCAACATAGATATACTTCGCAAATGCTTTTTAATATTTTTGAAGTCTTTTTGTATGTTTTTTGTATGTGTTATAATTTTAGTAGCAAAAGAGTTAACTGTAAATAAGATTACAGAAGACAAAATAGTATTTTACCCGGCTACTTGAGTCTCCTAGAAATCGACAATGAGTTGTTTCGTTTCACGGTTACATATACAATGTGTATATACACATATAGGTGTATAGGCCTACAGAGATTATTTCGATTGTACCTAATTTAGAATTACGCACAGGCCGTACATTCATAACCCTCTATGAACCTTTATAGCAACAAATTATGTACAGAAAATTATTTTATTATTAATTCATGAGATTCTTTGTTGGATATTTACTTTTACATTGGGTATTCGTTTTTAAATTTTGCAAATTCAAGTTTTTACTTTAGGACTTTACAAAGTGGTTGTTGCTCAATTTTTTAATTTTTCTAATTGATCATTCTTAAATTTTTTAATTTTACGAAATGATCATTCTTCAATTTATTAATTTTTCGAATTGAAATTATTTAATTCTTTAAATTTTTCAAATTGAAATTCTTTGATTTCTAAATTTTTCAGATTGCAACTCTTCGATTTAAAAATTTTAAAGATTCGTCAAATTAAAAAATTTTTAAATCGTTAAAGAACTTACAAATTATATTAAAGTAAGTTGAGAAGAATAATAGAAGAATTAGAAATGACATTATATCAAAAGATAATATATAAAAATTGCAATATAAAGAGGGCTAACCTCCTTCGGGCGTCTTCGTGGATTTCCGTAGATCTTCGTGCGCTACGATGAAAGACCACGCCTCTATTGTTTACAGAACTCATTACAAACGAAACTACTCTCAAATGGCAATATAGAGAGTGGCAATATAACGAGAGTTATCAAACTTGACATAATAAATATTAATACTAATTAAAAATTATTAAATTTGATATAAGAATAATATTAATACTAATTAAAAATTATTAAACTTGATATAACAATAATATTAATACTAATTAAAAATGATTAAACTTGATACAATAATAGTATTAATACTAATTCTAAATAATTAAACTTGATATAACAAATATTAGTATTAATTTGAAGTTATTAAACTTGACACAGAAACTAATATTAATTTCAAATTATCAACCTTGATATCACAGAAATTAATATTAATTTAAAATTATTAAACTTGATATAACAAACATTATTACCAATTTGAAGTTATTAAACTTGACATAGAAATTAATATTAATTTCAAATTATTAAACTTGACATAACAAATATTAACTTCAAATTACCAAACTTGATATGACAAATATTAATATTAATTTCAATTTATGAAACTTGATACAATATGACATAAAATTGAGGTTATAGAGGGTTAATCAATTAATCATCATGAAACATGTACGTCGTGTAAAACTCCTCCCTCGTTTCGTAATTGACAATTAGTTTAACGCGCTTTCCTTTTTTTGTTTCGTTTATTTCTCATCTTTTTTTTCATTTATTTTTTGTTCAGTCATTCGAGGTACCGTTGTATATATAATATATATGTATATAATATATACGCATATATACATAACAATATTAAACTATCCAGACGAGAATAGGCACACGCATACCAAAAGTATATTTACAATGCCAGCCACGAAGTGGCGTAGCACGAAGTGGACGTTGCACAGAGCTACAGAATGATTCTGTACGCACACGGAAACGCAATTATCTATAGTACGAGCCTTCCTATTATAGTGATAGAAATTCGCACGAAACGGATAAATGTTACTAGGAAAAATTCAAACGAAACCTGAGACACATCGATTCGCCCGACAAGCGAATTCACAGTTTTCGTCTACGAACGAATGTTTGGTCCTTACGGGAAACTACGCGGGGGTAGTTTGGAAATTAAATAACAGAGGTTCCCTTCGAATAAGCTCCTTTCGTTCTATTTCTTTTTTAGTACACTGCAAATATTTATGCAAGTTATATAAAATTAATTTTGAGGGTAGAAATATTTTTGAGAAGATGTCTATTGACTGAACATAACCTATAATGAACTTTTGTTCATTATTCTGATTTAATGTGAAGTTTAACTGAATTAAACTTGTTTATAGGAAGTTTGATTCAATTAAACTTGTTTGATATTAAGTTTAAGTTAAAATTGTTTAATATAAAGCTTCATTAAATTAAAATTATTTGATAGAAAGACTGTTTACATTAAACTTATTTAACGTGAAGTTTGATTAAATTAAATTTACTTAACATGAAGTTTAATTAAATTAAACTTACTTAATATGAAGTTTAATTAAACTTACTTAATATGAAATTTAATTAAAATTACTTAATACAAAGTTTAATTAAACTTACTTAATATGAAGTTTAATTAAACTTACTTAATATGAAGTTTAATTAAACTTACTTAATATGAAGTTTAATTAAACTTACTTAATATGAAGTTTAATTAAACTTACTTAATACGAAGTTTAATTAAACTTACTTAATACAAAGCTTAATTAAACTTACTTAATATGAAGTTTAATTAAACTTACTTAACATGAAGTTTAATTAAATTAAACTTACTTAATATGAAGTTTAATTAAAGTTACTTAATATGAAATTTAATTAAACTTACTTAATACAAAGTTTAATTAAACTTACTTAATACAAAGTTTAATTAAATAACACAACATGAAATTCAGATAAATAATAAAATTTAATATGAATTTAATTAAAATTTGATACATGATCTGACTTTATAAAAAGAACACTTGCATTAAAATAATATGCACATGATTTTATGGTAAAATTTTGATATTAATTTTATTTGACAATAAGATTTTTTGTCTAGGTTCAATTTTTATATTTGCATAAATATTTACAGTCAGTCCATCACGTTTAAATGGAATTCTACTTTATAAATTTAGTGTTCTTAAAATTACTTGAGAAGCTAAAATCGAAATCATACGAAAATATACGTATGTAATGTACAGGGTGTTTCATAATTTGTGGACAGAGTATGATGAATTAATATTATTAATACAATTAGTAATTCACATAAATACACAAGGAAATGTTATATTTAATTAATGTCAAATTGAGTTATTGTAATTATAAGCTCATTTTATACAGTATTTGATACATTTTCAATTTTTTCTACATATAGTAACGTTTTTTAAATATTACAAGAACAAATTTTATTTATTCTTTTTAGAATATGTTACTAGTTTAAAATATTAAGAGATAATATAGTAATTTATACAAAAATTAACAAATATTACTTGCTAAAATAAATGCATGTATTCAAAACTAAAATGAATCACAAATCTTCCTTTTCTATTTAAAGTAAGTTATTTTCTGCTTACAATAATTTGAATGTGTCTTATAAAATATATAAAGAATGACTTCAACAAAAAAAAATGTATAAAATACATAATAAAATATACATAACAATCATATCAAAAAACTACAAATGACTTAATAAATAATTTTGGTGATTAACAATTACTTGCTTAACAATTGCAATACTTAACAATTGCAATGCTTAACAATTACAACACAGAATTAACAATTTTCCTTATATCTCCATTCCCATCTTTCGCAATAAGTTTCCACGTATTATGAAACACCCTGTACACAAGATTTTCCTCAATTTCCGGTTACGCATACGCACCTATATGTACAACAATAATACAAAAGATTTAGCGCATTGTTAACAATCAGAAGACGTGGTTAAAAACATGCTAGAAAAAGGAAGTTGCGATACGACATATAAGTACATACGTGTTTTTGCATGTGTCTGTATATATAAATCGTTTTCTTTTTTTTTTTTTATCATTTTCGTTTGCAATGTTTGAATTTCTCGAACAAATATTATACCTGTTCGCTATAAATCGCATATTTTTATTCGTTCAAACAGCACGACGTAACTAAAGCTGGTGGTTTTAAAGTACTCATAGTAAATACTATGCTTAACTATGGTTCAATCTTTCGGCTCGATCCTTTTCAAGGTTTTTGTTTAGAATTGTTCTGGACATCGTTGTTGATACAATCTTTTTCTTATGCTATTTTAATAAATAATTCAGATTTTTAAATTGGTTTGAAAGAGAAAATATTTTTCGAAAAATATCATTTTTTAAAATTATTGCAAATTATTATAATGTGAATTGTTATTGTATTTTATTTATAAA